TCGCTCTTACAATCACCCAAATTACAGATTTACGATTACTGCTATCTGCAGTATCACAATTAGTACACTCCAAATGCCACAATACAACTGACTGGTTGCTGGCTAACTCGGAACTAATGTAGCTCGAGGACTCACTGACTGACTCAGTACAACTGACTGTGAATAACCTTCGCTGCTCCCTATGTAGCCTCGATCGGACAATACGGCCACGTAATAGGCACCCTTGTTGCCTGGCGCTGTGTTGCTAGTAACGCTAGCGGAAGTAACCGCTGTTACTACGTGGTGACGTCATCGCTGTTGACTCGCGTTGCCTAGAGACCAGGATCCTAGGACTTGGCTAACATCGGCTCGCTTCGGCTTCGCTCGGCGCATCACGGCTGGCGGGGGGTGGGGGAGGGCTCATAGCTCAGCATGTCACAATATTATAACATGTTTTGTTACTGATTACACTGTTTGGATTGTTAATTGGTTTATTCAACAACCTACAAATCACGGCTACAATTATTTATAACACAGTTGTGGGGTTTCACACTTTATAACCCTATTCGCAGTATTCAATTCACTCTATTGTCAGTAGTCAACACATTTCACAGTACAAGAGCTATATAAGTGTTACTGTATCACACATTCCAAATTATTACTCGGTTATCACGAACTATCACCAATCCTCACGCACACATCCGTAACTTATAACTTGAGAACTGAGAACTGTCTTTGGTGGCTGTGTAGTTCCCTTATAAACCATCAGCAGGGCAACGAGAAAACAGCCACGTAATAGTCGCCACTGTTGCTATGGTCGTTTCTCGCAACCACTGTTTATCCGTGTTGTATAGCGACCAGTGTGCTGGGACTCGGCTCACTTCGGTTCCGCTCGGCACGTCACCGCTGGCAGGTGGGAGGGGAGGGAGGATGTTGACCTGCTTATTACCGTAGCGCAACACGTTACAGTATTTTGTCACGTGCTTCTCTTTGTTCGCATAATCCATGTGGGACATTCTTTACACGTGGATGATGAAGGTTTGGGATATTATGTAGGAGAGCAATGAGTTCAAGGAGAGTGATGTAGGTAAGTCATGTAGTGCACATGCAACAGAGAGAAATGCATACAAAGTTTTGGAGGGAAAACCTGAGGAAGGCAGACCACGTGGGAGACCTAAGTGCAGATGGAGAGATGCTATTAAGATAGATTTTAAAGAAATAATTTGGTAGGGTTTGTACTGGGTCTGTTTGCCTTAGAATACAGAGTTGTGATGAGAATGTGTGATCCTAGTAATGAACCCTTTCTGGCTCTCTCAACAATCCTGTATTCATTCTTCTCTCCCATGCCTGCTATATGAGCTGCCCATCTCATCCTCCTTATGCTTGGTGAACGAAGGTTACAAATTGCGGAGCTCTTCATTATGATGTTTTTAGGAACCAAAACAGCTGATATTTTCTGTACTGCCGCAGTGACTGTTAGTTCCTTGGGAAGGTCACTGAGGTATGAACCGAGTACTTTCTACAGATCGTGATAGCTGTAGAGAAGAGCATCTGTACAGAACAGCTCTTATGAGTTAAATGTGATGAGAAATAGCCATAGGAAGGAGAGCATACGCTGTTTAATGTGTGGTGTTGTGCATCCATTTCTAAGAAGGATGTGATGGTTTTTACAGAACTATACAAATTTGGAGAATGCTTTAGTGGGTCCATATGCTGAGACATACCCAACACCTCGTGATGCAAATCAGTCCATGAATGTGAAAGCTGAGGCAGTCTCAGATGCAGAAGCGGAAGAGGATCCTGTCCCAATAACATTTTCAGAAATGAAGGCTGAACCTGAGGTGAGCTGTATGTGCGCTGTTAGGCAGATGACACAAATTTGCAGAAATGCTGCTTGTCTGTCTGATATCCATCTCTGTGTACATGATACAACTCTATTGCGCTCTTGACTAGATTCTGAAAGATTCTTTTTCCTGAAATGTCTCTAGGCAACTGTAGTTTGTAGAATGTTGTTTGTGATGTACCAGTTCCATTTTCTGTTGAGCAGATCTAATATAGATGAAATGACATTCTGTATAAACTGAATGTTTGCGGTAACTTCTATACAGCTAAAATCCTTCACATTTTCTTTGTCTGTCCAGTCCACTAAGCAGAGCTTTGGTACTACATCACAGAGTTCCCAGGAGCTATAAATGCTAAAGGTTATCATTTGTTTGTCTCCCATGCAGTCTGTATCCATGTAATAACATAGAGGTGTCACTATGTTAAGGATTTGTTATAGGATAACTAATGATTCTCTAAAGATGTGTGACAATATGTGACATTGTAGACACGTGTTGCCCATTACCTAACACCGATGGCGTTGCCCCTGTACCTGCTGTCAGGTGATTGGTTGTCATGACAGATTTTTTTGTTGTTTTCTGTCAGACAGATAGGTGACTGAACATTAGATATAAAGAATGTGTAAAAGGTGTAGAAAGCAATAGTGCTTAACTGGCATTGGCAACACATCCTAAGACAGGACTGTTCCGTATATAATGCCTTCTCTTTTTTTTTAGTGAAAACTACAACAGATACAGAAAGAATAATAACGCAGTTAAATAGAGCAAGATTTCAGCTACTTACACTTATTTTTCTGCATAATCACCACCTTTCGTTATGCACTTTTGCCAGTGATGAATGAGAGGTTGTATTCTGCGTCCCTAAAAGTCTGCTCCAGCAGAGTCTAGCCACTTTCTTACAGTTGCAATGATAGCATCGTTGCCTGGAAAATGTTGCTCACCTATTCCATCTTTCATAGGCCCAAAGAGATGGAAGTCTGAAGGTGCTAAACCGGGGCTTTAAGATGGATGTGGTAGGACAGTCCAGCCAAACTTTGCAATGTGCGCGATGGTCGCCAGACTGGTATGGGGTCTAACGTTATTGTGTTGCAAGCAAAAGGTTGTCTGCTTCTCTGGCCTGATTCGAGAAATACGGGTTTTCAGCTTAGTCAGCGTCGTCTTGTAGCGTTCAGAATTGACAGTCTTACCAGGCTCCAGGAAATCCAACCAGATCACACCCCACCTATGCAGAAAGACTGTGCACATCACTTTCCTTGCTGATGGCTGTGTCTTGAACTTCTTTTTTCTTGCGGAATCCAGATGTCGCCACTCCATGGACTGTCTTTTTGGATTCTGGCTCATAGTGGTGACAACACGTCTCATCCCCAAAGAGATGACGATGTTGTCCAGAAAGTTGTCACTTTCAGCCTCAAACTAGTGCAACAGGTCCTGACAAACTTCAATTCGATGAGGTTTGTGATCCTGTGTAATTATCCTCAGGACCCATCTGCAACAAACTTTGCGATAATCCAGCTTCCCCAACATCATTTCCAATGCATTACAGCTGATATTAAGCCGTTCACACGGTTCCCTGTTCGTTATCTGCCAATCTGTATGGATGAGCTGATCGAGGCGCTGTTCATTGTGAGGAGTGGCAGATGAGCAGGGACGCCCAGGGTATGGCTTGTCGTGCACTTCACTTTCGCCACTGTTGAAACACTACGCACTGCCTCACTGTGCTGACATCCACTGTATCATCTCTGTACACCTTTAGTAAGCATCGATGGATGTCAATGGGTGCAATTTGTTTGGCAGTGAGAAATTCAATAACATCTCTGTTTTGTACGCACCTCTGTGTCAGATACCATTTTGGTAGACTGCTCTGCTACCACTATCTGTTGCATGACAACCAGACTAACAGTACATTGGCGGGAAGGTTCAACCTTTACTACAACACCACCAACATCCAGCTCAGACTTTACATTAACCTTTAAGAGCCAAGCGACACCATATGGCATCATTAAAATGAAGCCAAGGGGACGAATGACGCCATATGTCGTCTCGCAGTCCACGTGTGCGGCCGGCTTTTTAAAATCTAATTTTAAGTTATAAATTCTTTTTCTACTTACATGATTTTTGGTCACCATCTTTATAAGTTGTCTCTCTTCCCACCTGCGTCGTCTAACGGAATGTTGGCCTCGTGTGGAAATCTTGGAAACATCCGGAAATGCAGAGTCCCACATCACATTTCACGCACTTTATCTGGACGGTTCTTCATTTCCCACGCGAAGAGCACACTCAACACCTCAATTTCGAAGTAGAGGAAGTCGGCCAGTGCTGTTGTTTGGCCTCCTCTATTCGAAATGACCCCAATGAAACGGCAGGGATTCGACCCCTGGGCCGTTGAGGGCGAGGGGCGCCCCTTCCAGCATGCTCCAGCATATTCGCACAAGGGCGAGACGAAATTCTGTGTGACAGTTTCGCACCACAGGATGACAACAGGATATAACTGTTCAGAATCGTCAGATCCAGGAGATGGAAAAATAATTTATTTGTCCATTTCCAGATTCGACGACAGATGCTATAACTGTTTGCCATTATGTCCGCTTTGTTGACATAACCCATGTGCTTGTTGTAGTTAGAAACAATTGCTGGCTTGATGGCATTTCTGTGCTCATCACAGAAACTGCCTTCTGCTGGAGGAGAGTGCATATTTGTCAGCATGTAAACGTCATGTTTGTCCTTCCAAACTAGTGCTGTCAAGTTCTGTCTCACCCTAACACGAATGTCCCCTTTCTTCAGTCGAAATTGTCTTTGTTGAAAATCGTCAGGCAAGCCCTTCCAATTAGGTCTGACTGTCCCACAGCACGTTATGTTCTGTGTCATCAGTTTGTCAGACTAGTCAGGTGAAGAAAAGAAATTGTCCATGTACAGTTTGTGACCTACACCCTCAATACGTGTGCATAGGTCCCTAACTGTAGCATATGTCGCTCTCACGTCTTGGCTGGCACGTTTCCTGTCTTTTCCTAAGTAAACCTTCATGTCATATGTATACCCAGCGGCGTCACAAATTTTGAAGATTTTGATTCCGAAACGTTTGTGTTTCTTGGGAATATACTGCCTAAAAACCACCTTCCCTTTGTATTTTACAATTATTTTGTCAATGGCCAAATGTTCGGAAGGGTTATAATATTTTTCAAATGCGTCATTGAGAGTGTCGAAGATGATCTGAATTTTCCATAGTCAGTCATAACTGTCGGCATTCCTGCCAATTTCTGTACTGTTGTCTGCAAAATGAAGAAAACGAAGAATGTGTAGAAAACTGTCGCGTTTCATTGTCTTAGAGTAGAAAGGCGTGGCAAATTGTTCTAGAGTCGACCAGTAGTCCTTTAGTTTGCCTCTATTGTCATGTCCCATTTGAATGATTATTCCTAGAAACAGAAACATCTCAGATTCGGTCACGTCTGGCCGCGGAGAAGGTCCATCTTGACGTCTGTCTACATGCTGATGGTAGTACCTGTTCATCTCTTCCACCAGCAGACGGATAATCCCTGCGAAATACAGCATGAAAAAGCAGTAAGTGGTGGAAGCCTAATTCACGTGTGGAGCTTCATTGGAATTTAACCCCACAGCTCCACCTGAATAATTATTCACACTCGTCTTGCCATGCTGGTGTGGTGGTCCCCAGGTTGCCGACGAAGATGATGGGTCTTCGTCGAAATCCATTTTTGAATCACTTTTCTCAACGCCACTCTCAGAATTGTCGGTAAAACAATCTCATTCGGAGTCATTTATGAGTTGAAAAATGTCTGAATCTTCCAAACGAGACGACACCATGGTGAGCTGACAATATCACTGTTCTCACTGCGAAACTTTGAAGCTGTATGACACTGCTTGGCTGTAAGTCTGTAAATTACAATATCTGATTCTGTATTCTTTCTAAAAAAAAAAAACAGCATTTATTTGGTTCGTTTATCACAAAAATTGTAGAAATCACAGCAATTTTAGGAAATGATTACAGTTTTTATTGCTTTAAAATTGCGGGTATTTAAATCAAATCCGTCCTGCTGCCATTACCGGAATTTAAAGTGCCATCACTTAAAATCAACGTTCTTATAAACAGAGAGATACACACTCACATCTCTGCATACCGAAAGAAGGTACTTGTATAAGCTTCAAAATATACAAGACTAAACATGTCTACATAACCATCCGCTGTGTTGCCACATCTACATACAGCATTCTTAGTTCCAAGAACTGTATGAATTCTTGTAGACAGATGACAAATTTGGGAATTTTATACTTGGAATCAGTCTAAAAATTTTTACACATTTTATAAAGTCTGTAAATTACAATATCTGATTCTGTATTCTTTCTAGAAAAAAAAACAGCATTTATTTGGTTCGTTTATCACAAAAATTGTAGAAATCACAGCAATTTTAGGAAATGATTACAGTTTTTATTGCTTTAAAATTGCGGGTATTTAAATCAAATCCGTCCTGCTGCCATTACCGGAATTTAAAGTGCCATCACTTAAAGGTTAACACAAAAAAATAGTAGGCATTATATACGGAATGCCCTTCGTATAGAGACACAATTGTGATGAAGTGGAATATACAATGCATGTAATTAAATACACAAATGAGGCTACTAATGAACATCAAAGAAAATTTCTATATATACATATAGACAGAGGTTCTTACTTTTCTCGGCCAGTTCACAGCTCTACATTTCACAGCTACTGATGCACTGCTGGGCTGGCTGCAAATGTTGCCAATGAATCAGTATGCCTGTGGCCAGTAACATTTGGAATGAAGTATACAATTCACAGATCACAGAAGGTGTTGAAAATTCTGTCCCCCTACACATAGACATTCCTTGCACCAGCAGAAGGGGTTCTGATTAACCCTTAACATTTAACGGACCAATATTATATATATCTGTAGGAAGTAGCACCCCGTGTTGGCCAACATACCCAGGCAAGGTCATGTCAGAGGTTCATTTGTTAGCTCTGAACAATGAAATTGTTTATCACGGTACACTGTACTGGTTTCAATACCACTTACGTCTAGATATGAGTGTTTATGGTGTGGTCAGCCAAATAGAGCCCAGCTTTGTTTTGAGAAATGAGGAGTAAAATATTTATCTGTGCTCGCATGTTAGTGCTTCCAGAGCTTTCAAGGAAGTGTGATGTATTCAAGGATTAGATTTCAGTAGTGAATTATCGGTTAGGAAGTCACTGTCGGATTGTCATATATTTCTTTATGTATTGTCATGTGTTGGGTATGTAACGCGACAAATAACTTCACACCGTATTGAATATAGCTAATCTGTTCCACATTCGCTCACACACTTATACAATTCACAATTACTGCCATCGGCAGTATCACAATTACTTCCACTGCTCTGAGTAACTTCATGATCCACACTGTGTCACCCTGATCACATACACTCTGCTCACATATTGCGCAGCTGGCTTTTTATACCATTCCGTTGCCTCGTGTTAATGGCGGTGTATCCTGTTATGTCACAGTGGAAAGTTCTGTTACATCACCTTGGGGCGCGGGGGAGCGGAGTGTTTACTGGCATGTTAGCATGTTACCGTAGCAGCCGCAGTTGCTCTGATGCTGTTATGTCACCACTGGAAGGGTGTGTCCTGCATAGCACAAATACATCACAACATTTTATTTTGTGTCTCGGAAGAGGTATAAACCCAGTGAGCGAGTGTTACTTTGTGAGTAAAAGGCATCTTCATCTCTGTGACTTTTGGCATCAGTGTCAGCCTGGCACTCTTTTTACTAATATTATAATTACTTTGCATCACTATTGTGCGAGTATTACTAATAGTTGAGTGTGTCGCTTTGCCAATCAACAATTTATTTGATTTTGTGGGAAACCCCCCCTCCCCCAAAATGATTCTTAAATCGCGTAGACGAATATCAGTGAGTCGACTGGAGGTGAAACATTCACAGCACTGGGCCACCAAAAGGAAACAAAGACGTTGTTGTGTGTGTTCGCTAAATAAGAAA